AAGTCTGTGAATGAATTTCTCTGGATTTTTTTCGAAACCGATTTTCTCTTCAAACCGAGTGCTTAGAAAAATGCAAGTCGACGTTGATTCAAAAAAGATCAAACTTGAAAACGGTTTTGGTAAAAAACTACAGATCAAAAGTCATTTTCATCTGTAGTGAGTCATTCAAAATGCATTTTTCTCTATCAGGGAGCAATTTGACGCAAAAATTGAGCAAGAACATTCCGAATGTATTGTAACAAAATGGGAAAAAAAATGTTTGCTTTCATTTTTCTTTGATTTGTTGTAGGATGAAAAAAATTAGGTATACTCCTTTGGTATTTGTTTTCTTCATGCACGGTCAGCTGAAGGAGTGAAAGAGAAAGGATTCCTCTGGCTTTTATCTCCTGTTAACCCTTTGCCACCCCAACATTTTCAGTGACCGAGTATCAATACAAAAGGCATTCACGCAATAATATACAGTTCCCGTTAGGTGCGATCCGCATTGTCTTTGTATTTCTCCTTTTAGACCCTAAAGACAAATATTCCGGGAAGAGTAGACGCGAAACCAGTCCATCTGTTGTTCAAAACGCTGTATTTTGAGGGTAAAAACGTGAAACAGCGCGAATTTGTAATGTTCATCTCCTATTTCTTATTTATTCACTTTTTCCTTTTTCTTCAGGAGACAAGTAAGTATGAGCTTATTTGTCAATTCTGCAGAGGACTATTTAAAGATATGTATATAATACCAACGCTTTGATTACTACAGGCATTTGGCATTTACAAAGTTCCATAATATAAACCGAGAGCATTCATATTGGTATCCTTTTCAGTGAGGAAAGCTTGCTTTAGTGAATTTCATGTGAGATTGAAATGAAGATGATTTTCAAAGGTTGGTCTAAATTTATGGCACTCGCCACTGCACCGTGGCAAATACCGTGCTTCGTTGAAAACAATTGAAGACATAATATGGATGCCATTCTTGAACTTTCTCTCCATTTCGGAAAGAGATATAAAATAGAGCTCTAATTAAATACCCTGTTTACAGGTCGATTCTGATTTGTCATCAATGTTGAACCAGATCAGTGAGATCTCTACATCTGTAATCATGCATAAGTTCCCATAAGCCTCACTGATACTCCTGATTGTATTTTAAAAGAGAAATATTGTCTATCCTGTCATTTACGCAATATTTTGACAATACAGTCATAGTAAACTTATGATAACGTTAGTTTTCGACCCTCTGAAAAAATTTCCTTGTTAAGTAAAATCTTGTCTGCATGTGACTTAGTGATGTATTAGTGACTATTCCTTTCAAACATTCTTGGAATTCTTTACATTATCATTTGAATTTCTCTCAGGGTTACCTTGTGTTTTACGATATTTCTAGTCTATTTCAACTATTTTCACTATTTTTCTTATTCACGTTCTCATTCTGACATCAGTCGTACATTATTTAATGATATAGTAAACGCACTTAGCTATACCACGCTCGGTAAAAATTATACACCCTTAAAATATATTACACAAAAGAGTAACACATACTGGTGATAAAGCGAATCTGCTGAAATTCAGAAGAAACCATTCTTTATTAAAAAAATTCAAAATTTATTAGAGAATTTAAAATATTGATGTTCAGCAGACAGACTGCATTCTTCATTCCGTTTGATATAAAAATTAAAATCATTTTTTTAACATTATTTATTAAACGCATGTATTGACACGACGTCAGAGAATTTCTGTTCTTAAATTCAGTTATAGAAATGTAAGATTTACAGCATATTCGATTGTTTTTATCGGAGACATGAGAGGGGTAAAGATTCTCTATTGTCTATGTATTTTTTGATCGCGGATGGGGATTGTTGCTCTGCTAGTTTGCAATCTGTTTTGTCAAACTTTAATAAAACTAATCACCACGTTGCTGTAATAACAGTCATTTAACTTTTAATTTTTATTCTCTCATCAAAATCTACCTATTGGTGTTTCTTTAAAAAAAACGTTGAATTTTATTCTGTCATTTTGTAAGAAGTTAGAGAAAATGTTTTAAAAACAATCCCTTAGAGTGGAATTTTTCATTCATAAAACATTCTCGTATTAGCATCTCGTGTAAACTAGCTACTTATTGTAACTGTAAATTGACTTGAGTCTTCAAAATAGAAAAAATAAACAGTATCAAGAAAACATTCAAAAATTGTAATTTTATTCAGAATTATCTCGGTTTCACGCCTTACTTTCATTTTTGTCCATGAAAACTCTCCTGGAGTGAACTGCTGCGAATAAAGTTTCACTATGCACTTATTCAAACACGAGTAAATAGAGTAGTAACTTGAATATAAAATATCATTTGTAGGGTCAATACTTGTTATCAATAACATCAAATTATTAACCTCAATGTTTATAAATACCGTATATCAATATAATTTTTTATTTTTTCTTGCCCGGAATTTTTTGCTGTGAGACGAAGGCTGGAAAATAATTCACCACCATTTCATGAAGAAAGTAAAGAATTGAATCTTATGTGAAAGAAACATGAAACAAAACAGATGACGTCAATCCATTCAACGCAATAAACATGTATTGAATATTTGTATGTCGTTGAATTGATTCTCAAGATTGTTATTCTATGCATTGGAATAACAATCTGGATGAGATTGTCTGTGGATGAAATATGCAATGGCTATATCTACCTATAGCTATTTTAAACCATGCTGGGGAAAATTACAAAGAGCAGAACTACCCACAGCAAAAAGGAAAAGAATGTCCGTAATTTGAGTCAACAACTCAGTGCAAAAATGTACTAGCTCATAGATGATTTTCTCGCCAACCTAGTAGGATATCCATTCAATCTTGGAGATGTGGAAAACACATACTGCTTAATTTGAAAGGATTTCCAGCGTATTCTATTCCATGCAAAAATGACAATTTAAAATTCTAGGAGGCAAGATTTAGTAACTATTTTCAAAAATGCATGTAAAGCGTATCTAGAATTTATTAATAACTACTTTTTCTAAAAAGCAAGCAGCTTTTTCACCGCTTGACTGTCATTTTGTATTTTATTGATTAAGCATGATCAATCTGGACGTGACGAACCTTCCTTCGATTCAAGTTTTACGCTTTGAATATCTCAAAGAGAGTGAACACGTAAGTTTGTCTGCTTTTTAAAATACTTTATACATGTTCGCGTCAAGTAAATACAAATTACGTCATAGCAAAGAAGAAAGAAAAACTTAATATGAGAAGAACTGCCTAGCAGATTTAATTTATTTAGGGAATAGAGTAAAAAATAACTTCAAATCATTAGGAATGAAATTGTTCAAATACCATATCGTTAGAAATTTTGGACTGAGATCCAGCGTGTATTTCACACAGGATTCTTTTTTGTCCCTGTAAATCCGAGTGATATGAGTAAAGAGTGAAATATGTGCCGTAAAAATGGAGAACGTATAAAGAGGTGATTCCCTCCTATGAGAGCGGAATTTACTTCGAAAAAAGAGTAGACTTTGCACTGAGTTAATACCTATCACACCGGTTGTTTGAAGGCGAAGTAGGCTCCGAATTGAAAAGCACAAATACATAAAGGTTGCTGCTACAGCGCAATATATTGCTGTGCTGAAGAAGAACCCCGTATACACAGTCGAAAGTTGCCAAATTTCTCCGAATAAAACGTGAATTTTTTAAGAAAGGTACGCATATTTTTCCTTGAAATTTTAAATACAATTGCAAACGTAATTGTGTGAAAAATTGGAGAAAACATATTCAGCGATTTCCTGGTAATTTTGTTTTAATTGGAAGAAATATAGCAACGCCTTTTTGCTCATACGCCGTTCTTTCTTAGCACGGTAATACAGCGCTTCACGACACCCAAAGGTCACATGTGCCCATATTTCCAAAAGTCATTTGAAAAGATTCGTGGTATCTCTTCGTCGACGCCTTGCCGCTATCCCTTCAACTTTCAACGTAAACCTTCTTTATCGAGAAATTTTAAAATCCTTTTTGCCTTTGTTAACAAGTTTACCTTTTTCTCTGGAAAAATAAATCCCTTTTGCTGACCGCTACACGAGATTAAGATGTTTGGGTCCATATCGAACGCTCAAGATTGTGGTTCAAACAATCCGGTCAGGAAAACCGATGTTTGGTTGAGCTGACCGGAAGTCGATTCCTACAACCGAAAACTTCGGTCAGCTGAACCGAAAAACCTTGGTGTTACCATGAACCGACATTTAGTCCCTGCAGCCCGAGTATTTTTTCTGGTAAGTGCAGGCCCGCCACAAATAGGGGACACCGGGTCTCTGGTTCCGGGGCCCGGGCCACTGGTGAAAAACCACTACGAATTCACATGTAACCCTTGTCTCGTAAGGAAAAGGGAAAAATTTACCCTAAAAATTTCGCAAAAGGTGAAGAAATTTTCAAAAACACGCTGGAGCACTGTAGAATTTTTCTTACTCCTTTAAAGATTTCTATCTGCTTTTAAGATTTTTACTATAGATTGATATTTTTCGTAACTGCGTTTCATTTTCTTCCGTCGTCGGATGCTAAGAGTCTCCAGTCTGGGCATTCTCGACTTCAATGACTCAACTTCCTTGCCATACGTACGAAAGGGGAGTCCAGGGGGCTTGGACCCCCATAGAATTGAAAATAGTATCATCTGCCCCCCCCCCGAAAAAATTTCCAGATGTTTTGAATGCAACAATCCGAAAGTACTTTGTGCTAAAATTAAAAAAAAAAAAAAGTAATTATTCTGCAGAAACTGATGGAAAATCTCCGTCATGGGAGCTTCAAAAATGCGTCCGAGTAGATTTAAAATTTTAAAAATTTCCCGGGGGAGGATCCCGGACCCCCTCTGTGCTGGGGGCCCGGGCCTTGAAACTGGCACCAGGGCCCCAGATGAGATGTGGCGGGCCTGGGTAAGTGTGTAACAAAATGGAATTACTTCTCAAATGGACAAGAACTTTTTCCTGGCGGCGATTAAAAACTTAAGAGCTACGTAAAATAGAGAAGAAGAGATAAAAAACGAAACCTACTTTCCCTACCTTGCTGGCTACTTTTCCTAGTGGTTTTCTTCTCCTTCATCCAGGGGTACTCCTGAACGTTGACGCCGGCCTGCTGCTGGTCGAGCATGTTCGTGGGGTACATGCCCCCGACGGAGGACCCCGAGGGGGACGGCGGCATATCCTGCATATGGTGCGGCAGGATAAACTCGGCCATGGAGGGTTGCGAGCTGATGAACCCCGACTCGGAGGGCAGCCCCGAATCCAGGGGGGTCCCGGGGGGCATCGTCCCCCCGGCGGCCGCCGAGACTGCCGCCATCCAGAACCCGTTGTTCCCGCAGGTGTCGATTGTCTCGATCCGGGATCCAGGCGAGTGTCCCCGCTTGATCCCGTCGCCGGACCCTAGATAATCATCATCGTCACCCTCCTCCTCACCACCCTCTTCATCGTCGTCTTCATCCTGGTCCGTGGTCACGTGGTCCAGATGAGGGGCCGAGGGGGGCACGATGTGGGGTTTCACGCGGGAATCCAAAAGGAGCTCTTGACTTTTCATCATGGTTTGGAAATAACACGGTTCAACACTTCATCCGGGAGGTATCACAAATATAAACATCAATCTTGCAAAATCACTCGTGAAAAAAATGTGTTAAAAATTGACTACGACACAATAAAACTACTCGAAGAATTGCACTTTTGATCAGCGGTTGACGCTACGGGCTAAATATTGCAACGTTTAGAGAAAATCGTGGCCTAGAGGGACGTGTTTCCGATCATTTTTTTTTACGTAAAATTGCACTTTTTAATCAAATCTGGGTTCGTTTCGGCACGCAACTTAATCCATAATAATTCTTTTTTTAGGTAAAAAGCACACACACCTTTGAAAGTCACCGACAAGAATCCCGACCGCGGTTGCAGAAAAAGGTCTCGGTATACCCTCCGACACCACGTGATACCGCCGACATGGTTTTGGGACAATCACACTGGAATTACACCGTAAAATTGGTGACTGACCAGTCACATATTCAAGAAGGAAGCTTGTTGTGTTGAACGCGTTACTGCGAACTTTTAAGCACAAATTTTTCGCGTTGAAAAACGCAAGAGAACTTTGAGAAAACACCGTTTCAGACTATTTTTCAACGATATCAAACGCCGGGTATAACGGAAAAAAAGCTCAGAAGTTTTGTGTTACAGATTTAACGGATTCTCGCGATGTTCAGCCCAAAAAACGCACTTCAGTTCGCGAAAAAAAATGAAAAAGGCAACATAAAATCAGAGAGTTTTACGCTTTTGCTTCGACGGAAAATTGACCCTCATGTTGAGTCACGATCGTGCAAAACGGCAGTAACAGGAATTGGCAGGGAAATCCGTCACAAAAACGAGAAAAACCTCATATTCAACGCACTAATTTGAGATTCGAGAGAAAAAAGAGGATTTTATGCTTCGGCTCGACTGCAAATTGACCCTCGTGTTGAGACACGAACGCACAATACGGAAAAACTTCAAGGGAGCTGGAAATTGTAGGGAAATTCGTCGAAAATTCACAAAAAAACCCTTAAAAGTACCGCACCAATTTGAGATTCACGAGAAAAAAAGCCGTGTAGACTACGAAACCGGAGAGTTTTATGTCACTTTTGTGCGAAGGAACAGACCGCTTACGGAGGCATCGGATGACGAAACGAGAAATTCAACGGAAAGCGCGGAAAAGCGTGGAAAACTCGCGGGGAAAACAAGGCGCGGCGTAAACAAACGCGGGAAGAAGAAAAAGTTGCGGCTGTTGTCGTGAGACTGAGGACGGTTGAGGGCCCGAGAGAGCGGCTGGCGGGAACCCACCAAATGAGAACGGGGTGTCTTCGAGCCGAGGCGAGGCGAAGCGAGTTCTGTTGCCGCTGCCGCCATCCTCTTCGCGCCAACCACCGCGCATGCGCCCCGCTCGCCTGTCAATCAAAACTCCATCTTGGCCGCCGCCGAAACAACGGAACGTTCGCGGCGTTGTGTTGGACGAGTTTTCCCCGATTTCCGGCTCGAAATCGAGAGTGATTTCCGGCTTGATTGATGACACGCAGCATCTGGACGTACACAAATCAGAGATTTTTATTGCGGAGATAGTTTGATGCAGATATTTGTGTTTTTTGTTGGTTGATAAAGGAAGTGGAATACAAACCAAATAAAATTTTGATTTCCAATTTCTCGATTTTCGGTTTGAAATCGAGAGTGATTTCCGGTTTGACTGATGACACGCTACATCTGGACGTACGCAAATCAGAGATTTTTACTGCGGAGACACTGATACAAATATGTGTTTTTGTGTTAGTTTTGGTTGATGAAGGAAGTGGAACACAATCTAACTCAAATTTTGATTTCCAATTTCTTGATTTTCGGTTCGAAATCGAGAGTGATTTCCGGCTTGATTGATGACACGCGTCATCTGGACGTACACAAATCGGAGGCAGTTATTGCGGAGGAGTACTGATACAAATATTTGTGTTTTGCGTTACTTTTGGTTAGTGTAGGAAGTGAAACACAAGCCAACTCAAATTTTGTGTTGATTTTGGTCCGATATTTGTTTTTTATGTTACTTTGGTCGTTTCAGGAAGCGGCGTACAAGCTAACTCAAATTTTGCGTTGATTTTGGCACTAGCGCAGAAAATGACGGAGAGACTGCAAGTGCGAAACCCAGGAGTCAACCATAGGCTTGGGTTATCTTGTGTCTTACTTTCCATATGAACCAAATTTTTGCGTTGAGTTTTCTATGTAGTTCTCCTTGATTATAGAGAGCCTTGCGTAAGATAACCTGATGATTACTTGCTGAAAGCTTTTTTTTATATCATTAGTTGATTAAAGGGACTGCATTTTGCTATTCGGAACTAATTTCTGGCTCACCTGTAAAAATAAACCTGTATGCGGGAAACTGATGGTACACACATTGTCTCTAAACTGAGATAGAAATTGTAGTTCCTGATTGCAAAATGTAGTTCAATTGGCTGGGGTTTTGCTTGAAGGACCAAAGATATTATTCAAGTATAAATTTCTTTCAACTTTTATTTTTTCCTTTTAACGTTATTTATTTTTTTATTGTTAAACTAAAATTTTAATGAGACTTCGTCTTGCCCCGAAACAAGTTAACGGTCGTAGCGTTAAAAATGGGACGGACGTTGTTTCGGACAAGTTTCCCCGATTCCCGGTTTCATTAATAACATACGAGACACTTGAACAGTTGCAAAAAAATGTTTCTCCTTATTTTATAGCCAAAGAATTACCTTCGTTGAATTGGCTCGTCAGAATAAAAGCTTAAAAATCCACAAATTTCAAGGAAACTTAGTTCGAAAATAATTTTTCTTCGATTCACGTAAAAAATCCACCTAACACACCTCCGCGTTTATTAGGTATTGACAATAAAAAACACAGGAAAATGCGGAGACAAGGCTAAATTAGCCTCGTTTCCGCATTTTCCTGTGTTTTCGATTGTCTTTTCTGTTTCGGGCTGCTTTTACATTCTCTTTGTTTTCCACTTTATTAGTTAATTTATATCGTCATAATTATTCACAATTTTAGGTTATTTATGCTGATTGTTCTGCAGTTTATTCTGTGTTTAGCATCATTGTGAGTGATTTTTAGAATCTAACAGAATTTTGATGAACGAAATTTAAGTACTTTCTTTGATGGAAGAATTCATGCTGGAGAAAGGGACAAGCTTTGCTTTTGCCTAGAAAAATGACTGAGATTTCCGGTATAAATTTAAAATCTTTCCTATACTTCATGATGCTCCTGATTATTCTATCGTATAATGATATTTTAACTTATTATTCTTGGAAATTCTATATCTTGCGTCGTTAAACTTCGTAAAATTATTCGGGACACGGTAAAGTAACGGTGTTAGGTTCCAATTATCTTGAATTGACTTCATGACTCTGATTGCAGAGTCTAGCTCCGAAGTTAAAAGATTAACTATATGTAAAACAAATCGTAAAAAAAAAATGCCGTGTGAATAAGCATACTAACAAACAAATAGACCGAATATAAGAAGCGAAGTATGCATGTATCTCGTCACGGCTGAAACGAGTTTGAAAGAAGGCCCTCAGAGGCGCAGCTCCGAGAATCCGCTAATCCATCATACTTGGCAAATATTTTAGTGACCCCAAGTCAACAATTTTGAGCACGATTTGTTTTCTCTGTAAAATATTGGCATATGCCATGATTCGCGCTCATGTGGCATCATATTTGTTTGTACCTACATATTTTTAAGTTTTGTTCAATTTTTTTTCAAACTCGTCAAATCAGAGAATAAAAATAAAGTTACAAAGCATTGTCAACTTTTTTCTTTCTTAGAGCTTTTAGAGAAAAGTTAATCTCATCATCGCATACCATTTTACCACCACGTTACCATTTTATTTTGACTCCTGAGCCATTTTATTTCCGTGGATGCTTTCCGATTCTGCGCGTTTTTTTGCTCAGATACATGCTTATGATTCGATGTTTTGGCAAAAAAGTTGCTGATCAGCTATTACTTAGCGAACATCAGTAGCGTTAACCTCCGATTTGAACAGGTTATTTGAAGAAGGGTGTAACCATCCAATTTTTAGAAATTAACTTTTTAAAGGAGCACTATTCTTTGACGATCGATGCATTGCACTACCGAGCAATTCCACCAAAATTGCACTTTAAACTTTTTTTAACCACTTTGCATATCTGCCTCAGTGGAAAAAAACCTAAATTCCGAGCATTTCTCAGTGCAAGGGTAAAAACCATGAGTAAAGGCACAAATTATGATTTTAAATAATTGCATCGACCTCGCATGCCATTTCGTCGCTCCTCTGACGCAAAAGCGTATACACTTCGTTTTTTAGGCGAACCCTGTTCTCCGTATGACTTCGATCAAGATTCTGAATCTTTTCTCGAAAATTGATAAAAAAAAACTGCACCCATCCCACTTGTCTTCCAAGTCCCTTAATCGGACCATATTTTGCGAGTGAACTATAATTTTTGGCTTAATTTAGAAACAACGCACGTACCCAACCGTTTCCATCTTTTTTAATATCGTCGCCCTCACGACGAAGAGGCGTACCAAGATTTTGACTACTTTTCAGGAGAGCAAAAATAAGATTTTGAAGAACTTAGTTCCTTCGCCGCTACGTACCTAATTAACGTATCTGATTTTTTTTTCGCATTCAGCGCCGGAAAAAGATCAGGGTTTTAAATATCACATTGAATTTGTAAAATTATGCCTAGCAGCCCCGATATCATTGAAATATTAGAAAAGGGTCCTGATACGCCCGTTGGCGGAACACTGAATTGGGCACCTCCCGCTGCTCCGCCGCGTCCTCTCGGCGGGCGTATCATCTTGTTGCGCTATATCTTCCCCTATTTCATTCCTTACTTGTTAGTTCTTTCACTTAATTTCTTTTCTTTGAGTTTGATTTTTCTTCCACGATTTTTTTAGGTGGTCAGTTCTGTATATTTACTATGGTTTAAGGTACATCCTTTTTGAGATTTCTAAAAGGTCATGAAAATGAAAAATATCAAGAGAGCGTATATTCAATCAGAATTTTCAAAAGCAGTTCTTATTAATACGACTTTAAAAGAATCTATACTGAAGTAATAAACATTAGAGTATATATTTTATGTCCTTCTTGATAGTTTGACATACTTTAATTTACAGCTGTTTAAGTTAAAACAATGCCTTGATAATAAAATTTAAGAAAAAAAGAGGTTTAAATTCAAAGAGATGTGCCATTATTTCAATTTCATGGCAGACTATGACATATTTCATTTCAAAAGATAAAGTAAACTAATTTTTTTCGTTCGCCAAAGACGAAATAATGTTAACTGTTAAAATTGACTGCATTAGGATGCTTAATTGTATTTCTGACACGACGAGTCATATTTCATTAACTGCATTTACTTTTGATCAATAAGAGCTCGCAACTTGAAGTGTTCAAAAATAATGTTTTCCTTGCCACTCCAAATGTATTTTTGTCATCCTTAATCACTGATAATTAATAATCTTACCAAAAGCTTTGATATGTTGAATATTGAAATCTCATTATCTGAACAAAACGGCGGAAAGATTTTTTCTTTTATTCAATTGAAAACACGTCATTTTGCTTACTCTTGATGGTCAGGTGGTAAAAGCTGTGTCTGGACAATGAGAACAATGAAGTTAAATATGAATAATGAATGTCTATTTAAACGATAAAGCAAGAGAATGCCTGAAACATAAAAAAATCAAACATCGATAGTAGTCGATTGTAATTACACTCATTATAATTGTAGGTGAAAGATAAAAAAAACCGAACATGATTACATTTGATACGTCGTCAAAAGAAAACAATTCGAGCTAACCAAGTGTTTATTGGCATGTAAATAGAAACTGAAAAAATCTTGACCTAGTTGAGAATCTTTTGACATTTACCGTCTATACACCCCCGGACAATTTAGATCTTTTCTCAGAATATCCTGTCAAACCAAAATTGAGAGGGGAAAAGCCATCGAAATCAAAGAATCCCGACTGACAATACGAATCGTGTTTACCGAAACACCCGACAAATTAGGTTTCCTGACCAATAACAATAAAGAGCTCTTCAGGCTGTAGCATTAAAACACGCCGACAAATATAAAAAATACCGCCAGATTGGTCTAAAATCTATAGCAGGAATAACAAAATACTGAAACAATAACTGAGAAACACACCCGATCAGTGAGTGACGGGCATATTGTGTCGCGCGAACCGAAAGGGCCTGATTTTCGAGGACGTATCATTGAGAAGAGGTCAGGTAGTCGCGTTTGCTTTATGATGCGCCCGTTCGCCGTACCCAGAAAAGAT